CAAACAATAGATTTGCCAGCTGTTGCGATACACAAAATTATTGATGTCACATAAAGTATGAAATGTATAACAACGGTCCTCATGCAAACTCATAATATTTCAAAACTCTAGGTATGTGTAAATATTAATGGTTATGTAGAGTAAACCCGGGTGAGATGATTACTATTTTATGTTTTTATAGTTTTTTTTTTTTTGATTGTACTGGACCACAAAAGTAACAAAATAATAATTATTATAGAAACAAAACATAAAAATACAAAAAAAGATAAATTGATCAACACTCTCGTAAACTACAGATTAGTTTTCCACATTGAATAGTTATAGCCAATATAAATAAAATATTCCAAAAAAAAGAAACACCGTTTATAATTAAAACTTCTGACCACAACTTTGACACGTAGTTTCAAAAGCGGAGCACGTTTCATGCAATCATCTGTTGCATCTAGTAGGTGGTACTCTTAATACAATCTCCTTGACTTCGAGTGTCATTATAGTTTTTTAAACAGATTACTTATTAATTTTCTTCGTAATCTTCTACCTTTGGCTTTCCAGATGAATGATTATTGAATTCTGACTCTGTTGAAACTACTTTATTTTTCTGTTTACCTTAAGAGTTCAAGAGCATTCCTGTGCTACCATCAGTTTAATGCTTTGTGAAAATGCCAATGGAGACCTTATACCACCAATGGTCGTATACAAAGCGTTGAATCTTTACGAATTCTGGATGCAAGATGGACCACAAAGAACAAAATATGCGAGCAGTTCAAGAGGATGGTTCGACTTGAATTTATTCGAAATGTGATTCTTCTAGCTTTTCCTGCCTCACGTCGAATCTACCAGAGAGGATAACAACAAAGTGATTCTCTTTGATGACAGCCTGGTAAGCCATTTTTCACCAAGGGCGATAGAAGCATGTGGTAAAAATAATATCTACTTAACTCCCTTCCCGGCCAATGCCGCACACTTGATGCATCCCATTGATGTGACTGTATTCGTCCTGATGAAGAAAAAATGTAGGTAGATGCACGATCAGTGGGGAAAGGAGTCTCTTTCCTAGACTGTATCCAGAAAGAGCATCTTTCGAACCTACTGAAAGATTATGGAAAGGAAAATATAGCAGATAATCTCAAACCAGGATTTAGAGAAACGGATTTGCATTCTGCAAATCTTGACGAAGTTTTGAAGCGCATTCCTGGTGGAGTCAAAGATGCAGATATCGAAAGAATCTTAGACAACAGCTTGTTTGATTTTCTGAAAGAGCACCGTGAAACAGGGGCTAAGAAAAAATATAAAAGCGGAAGAAGGTTGAACCTGGATTTGTCTCGTACTGTTACAGATCCTGAAGTTTTTTGAAAATCCTCCAAAAGTATCTGGGGAATTTTCAACTACAGCTGACGAACCGGGACCTTCTTCTGTTTTGCAATGCACACAGAAACTTTCTATCTGGAAGAGCAAGATGGAAAGAGTGAGTCCCGATGTGGGATCAGCAGGATTAATTGAAAAGACTCCAGAGATACAATTGATTAGATTCGATGCACGAAATGTCGACGAGCATTGGTTTGTGGACCCAGTAATAAAAACAGCAACCACCCTTATTTTGAGTGCGAACAGTGTGTGGTTTCGGAAGACAATGAATACCCCTTCGATAACAGTTATGCCGACAAGGACTTCCAACTTGATGATTAACCAAAGTTTTTTTTGTTAAAATTGATATTTTTCAAAAAATGTGCCTTATTTTACCAAAGTTTTAATAAAAGAAAATTTGTTTATTTTTTACAACTAGTTATTAACATTTCTAGCAATTATACAGAATTTCTTTTTAAGTTTTTTGTTTGTTAAAATTGTGATTTTTTAAAAAATGTGCCTTATTTTATCAACGTTTTAGTAGGAGAAAGAATGTTTACTTTTTTTTACAAATAGTTATTGACATAACTAAGCATTTATACAGAATTTCTTATTAAGTTTCATGTATTTTGATAAAAGAATATGTTTTTTCTTTGAAAATATTGATTTCTAATTGGTTTCGAAGGCCTTGGTTATAAAATACGTTCTCTTTCTTTATTTTTTATTCGACTACAGGGTAACATGCATAGAATAGGCTTTAACATGCATTTTCGGAACATTTTTTCATGGGTGTGCAAGTAGCCCCATATACGAGGTAGCTTGCACACCCCAAAAACAATTGTTTGGGACCCATAGCTACAGCGGTACATTGGAAAATGTGCTGAAAAGGTGTGCAAGTAGCCTCAATTTACGGTAGTATTTGATTGACTGCTTGAAAAAATCATCTTTAAATTTTTTAAACTTTTGTTATTCTCAAAGTTGCATTATTTATATTGGCGTCAGCAATTGCTCTGATTTATTTTAAAAATGTCTACCAAATCTTAGATCTTCATTTTTTATAGATTACAAATTTATTTGGATTTAAAATTAAATACAATTATTTCGTATTTAAACAAGTATTTAATTTTGGTGTTACCCTTTATTTTCTTTAAATACGCTCATGTGGGCTCCAACCTGTCAAATACCTCGCGATGTGGGTGGCTTGCTTTTGTTTATATGGCTTTGCACTTCCAATTTAATAAGAAGTTCAGTGAACTGTACTGTACGGCATAATACCTACAGTTTTTTTCTATTACCCTTCACTTTATAAATAGCTCTTTCATATTATACTATAAGTTTTCCTGTGGGATGAAAATAATATTTATAATAAAAATTTCATTTTAACCTTCGTAAACCATTTTTTCAAATTTGTTACATACTCTTAATTTGATATATGGAAAACCATTTTTTTAGGGATATAGACGGACGAATACACTAAGCGAATGTTCAGGAAGCATAAAAAAACTTCGATTGAATTTCGTACATTAATATTGATATAAACTTGGTCGGAAAGAGATTGGGGTCGTTCCCCTTGAACCCGCATTTATCGCTTAGTGCAGACAGTCACGATTTTTTCTCCCTTTATTTCGTTCGAGATAAATTCCAAATTCAACGGGATGCGAATAAAATGGAAGAACGGTAATCTAATCATTGCAGTTTGAGCGAAACTGCGGGAATTAATTAAAACCAATCCAATTTTGAACTTTGCTTACCTAGAAATTGATAATACGGTTACCAGAAGGTACAATTATCAATTAAGTGCTAGCTGTTTATTTATTAATAATCAGGATTTGGTATTATTTCCGTTTATAATTCAGTTTTTGGTGAAAAAAATATTAAGTCAGCCTAGGCAAATACATAATCCATGAAATTATAAATCAAAATATATAAAACATGGGATTATTGAAACTTTTTCTAAAACACTAAATAAGGCTTTAGTTACCGATTATGACTTTATTCTGATATTAGTATGAGAGCCCACTGCTAATTTCGACCGTCATCTGATAACGAAATGAAATATGCTCTAAAGGCATGTAACAACATTGTACTTTACCAAATTGCACCTGTGCCAATCCCTATCCTGAGCAAAGTGGTTAAAAAAATTATTTTATATTTAAAAATTCACATAAGACATGACAACGACAATTGTGTTTTCCCTGAAAATTACAATCCTAATTCATTGTGAAACTAGCTTTTAAACCTGAATTATTAATATTTTTACCTACCTTTTAAACCGAGTTTATGTATGAAAGGAAGAAGGGCATTGTATAAACCATTTGCAGAGATAGTCAATAATAATTATAAACTCTTCTTAGACAATAATTTTAAACCATAATCATAGTAGTTTTTTGTCGTTTCTATGGCAACCTGTAAAAATGAATCAAACAATAGGCATAGAAATAAATTTTTAAATCAGCAAACATTGATTCACATTTTTAATCATTTTTACCTACTAATCATGGATAGATATTTTTGTGCAATGTTAAGAGGAAGAAAATATTTCTCTTAAACGATATATATCAAGATATATTTGAATGTTATTTTCTGGAAAACTTTAAGGGCAAACAAAATTAGCGCTATCATGCCTTATGTGATTTTTTTAATATAATATAATTTTTTAAAGCCACTTTGCTCAGGATTGGGTTTGGCACAGGTGTCATTTGGTAAAGTACAATGTTTTTCCATGCTTTTGGGGTATATTTCATTTCGTTATCAGATGACGGTAAAAATTTACAGTGGGCTCTGGGGCTATATAGACAAAACATGAATCAATAACTAAGCAATAATATAGCCATACACAAGCAAGGGCGTAGATAAGGGGGGTAATAGGGGGTAATGGGGGTAATTACCCCCAAGCCATAGTCAACATCAATATTTTTTTGAAGGTTATATTAAACAAAAATAGAGAGATAAAATAAATACAATAAAACAAAGAGTTTCTTAAACATTGTCATCTAAAATAAGGGTCTCATTAGTTCGTAATTGTTCAATATTTCAATTTGTGTTATTGACAATCAAACAAGTTTTAATAAAAGTTATATGGATTTAAAAAATACATATTTTAAAAATATTTTTGGATATACAGGGTGTTGCGTTTTTGCCTGACAAATAAAAATGTATGTTTTTTAAATCGAACACCCTATATTTTATTTTATTTTTACAGTGGCTTTGGAATACTGTATTTAACTCTAAAATGTTTTTAAAAAATATTACAGTGTTACTAAACAATTTATTTTTTTTTTAATTAGAGAATGATGCAGACACCAAATTAAATTATCATAATTTAGGTAAGTTTACATTAATTTCAAAATTGTTTAACATAGAGACTTATAAAATACTAAGCAAACGAATAGAGGTGATACAACTGGTTTATTCTATATAGAGTGTGTTGAAACATGTCTAAACTATGGCTAATTTTAAGTTCACTTTACTCAATTTTTTCAAACGAAACATACTGTATATTAAATAAATGCATAAAATTCCCTATAAATTTGCCCATGTAACAATACCAATGTGTTTGTCAAGTATCGGCTATCGCCAGTATCGGCTATGGCCAACCCAACTAATAGTAGTGGAAATCTTGTTGATGAATTCGAAGAGGCGTTTCAACACTGTTGGAATGTATTAACTAAAGAAGAAGCACTACCAACATCGGACAAGGATGAAATTAAAGTAGAGGTAGAGCAAACTACCCTTCGTTTTATAGATTTGGCAAGACAAATGGAAGCCTTTTTTCTACAGAAAAGATTCCTTTTATCGGCCTTAAAACCTGAGATGAATGTTAAGGAAGACATTAGTGAACTTAGATTAGAGTTAGAAAGAAAAGAAGAGTTACTTAAGAGACATTATGACAAAATCCAAGTATGGCAGAATTTGTTAGCTGACTTACAAAGTTGTTCAAAGAGCCCAGCACAAGGCAGTGCTACACCAGGCGGAGGTTCAAAACCACCATCACCTCTGCCCAGTATCCCTGGTAACCAGACATCCAATCAGATTATGCCAAATATATCAGCCACTATGCAACAGCAGCTACAGCAGCAGCAGCAGCAGCAGCAGCAGCAGCAGCAGCAGCAGCAGCAGCAGCAGCAGCAGCAGCTGCAGCAGCAGCTACAACAACAACAACAACAACAACAACAACAATAACAATTGCAGATGCAACAAATGCAGCAGATGCAACAGAAGCAATTACAACAAATGCAGGTAGATCGGCGTTAACATTAGTTTTAGTTCATTAAAATGCCTTTCATGGCCTAACTTTCAATAATAGAGGATTTAGTCTGAATATGATGCAGCTACAGATAAAAACTTTTACTTCAATTTTATTAAAAGACTCCTATCAGGTTTCATCTACTATGGTAAACTGGTAAGCTTTATTTTTAACACATATACATGGTGTCCCATCAGTGCATAATTGATCGATAGCTGTTTTATTATTAGAAATACGAAGAAATGTTTAACAACAGTTGTATGACCATATTTAACAAATATTCTTAAATTTACAGGGTGGTCCATAAACGAGGTGCTGACCAAATCTATATTTTTTTAAAGCAAGACACCTTGCAGGTAGTAATACATATTTGATTGTTTTTACATCGTCAAACAATTTTAATTGACTTCATTCATTTGCTATGTTGTATATAGGGTGAGTCAAAATGTGAGGTTACGATTTTCTCAATTTTTTAAATGGACCACCAAGTATTAATTAATTGGAGGTATGACAAAAAGGGTATTTCATTTAAAAAAATGAGAAAATTGTTACCCCTCATTTTGAAACACCATATATAGGGTGGACCGGATTTAATTTACGTATACAGAGATCTCGTAAACCGTAAGATATACATTGTCGGTTAAATAGGGAAAAAGTTTCGTATTTTGACGGATAATACAATGGTCCATAGAAGTTCCAAATTTTCTGACTGGTTCCGGAGATATTCGATAAAATCCGAAAAACCTCATTTTCTTTTTTTAAGTCGTGCGTTGTTATTATAAAAGATACAAAAAAAAATATCCGAAGTTTTTGTTATAAATCAAGTTTCCTATAATTTGCCATGTCAAAATTTTTATTACTACGTTTCGTATTTCCAGGGCCACCTTCAACTTATTTTTTTAAATACGGACCTGGATTTTTAACTGTAATTTTTTATAGCTTTTGTAAAGCTAAAGACAACGATATGTTACACTTTACCATTTTACTACATTTCGTCTATGAAAATATCATCAGCTATGTAGCTTCTGATGATACCGTTTCGTACTTAATTAAATAATAATTAAAAACAAAAAATGCTTAAAATGTGAAATTTTAAATATTATTTGAAACATAATACAAGAATTATTTAATTACAAAATGGGTTACAATTTTTTATCAAACATGATTAAGTACAACCAGCAAACAAGACTAATGAAGAACGAATTATGGTTGTACACATTCTACAAATAATAAAGCTAATAACAAAAACAAAATTCAAAAACAAAAACAGTTACAATAGTTGCTTAAAATGTAAGTCCATTCTGTTGGATACAGAGTGCAATTTTCCTAGACATTTGGGATGTAGTTTTATCAACCATTTCTGGTGTAATTTTTTAAGTGCATATACTATTCGTTGACGAAGTTCTTGTAGATTATTTGGCATATTTTTGTCGTAAATTTGGTTCTTTACGAAGCCCCACATAAAATAATCCATGGGGTTAAGACACGGAGATCGAGAAGGCCATCTTATTGGTCCATTGGTACCAATCCAATTACCTCTAAAATATTGATCGAGATACTCTGCAACCCTCCTAGCATTGTGTGCACCACAACCGTCTTGCATAAAGTATTGAAGATGTTGTCTTGTTTGTAAGGGCATCTCATCGAGTACTTCCTCCAATAAATGTAGGTATCGGAACTGATTTAAATTACCATCCAAAAAAATCTGCCCAATAATCTGATTATTGATTAGTCCACACCACACATTTTGGGTAAAACGGAACTATGGTCTAACTTCTCTGATTAAATGGGGATTAGAAGTAGCATGCAAATGCTTGTTCCTGGGATTAAATATTCCACTATTAGTAAATGAGCATTCATCCGTCCATAATATCTTTTTGTTGAAAGAACGGTCATTGCGCAGTTTTCTACTATACCAACGACAAAACATCAGTCTTCTATCAGAGTCTTCACCGTGTTATGTCTGGACTTTTTGAAATTTATACCTGTGGTATTTATGTTTCTTTAAAATTCTTTTAACCGTGGAGGTTCCTACTACACATTCTTTAGCTATTCGTCTAGTAGAATTTTCAGGGTTAATATGTATTTGGGCAAGAACATTAATTTCATTATCAGTATGTCGAACCTGATATCTAGTTCTCCTTTTTTCACACTGTTATGCTCTACCATATTTTTTGAAATATAAGAAAACATCCTCTTAGATGGCTGTTGTCTATCAGGATATAAATCTAAATAAGTCTGAGCTGACCGGGTACACATCATACATATCTTTCTTCTCTTCTTCAGTATAACGAACCATAATATTTATTTAATTTTAAATTATTTAAAGTTAAAAAAGTACTGTAATTAGATGTTACAGATTATAACAGAAATATTGGTGACAAGTTACAACTGACATGCATGGCAAACATGATTTTGTTAAGATCTTATGTATGCAAAAATGAAAACATTAAAGATAGAAAAAATACGGTGTGAAAAACCTAAGAGAAATATTTTACAGAAAATCAGGTGATAGGAATTTATAGATTGCTTGGCCGTTTTGTTTTTCATTTTGTTTTTGTTATTAGCTTTATTATTTGTAGAATGTGTACAACCATAATTCGTTCTTCATTAGTCTTGTTTGCTGGTTGTTTGATAAAAAATTGTAACCCATTTTGTAATTAAATGATTCTTGTATTATGTTTCAAATAATATTTAAAATTTCACATTTCAAGCATTTTTTGTTTTTTAATTTATATTTAATTAGCAATCTTGTTTTAATCAAGTAAGAAACGGTATCATCAGAAGCTACATAGCTGATGATTTTTTCATAGACGAAACGTAGTAAAATGGTAAAGTGTAACATATCGTTGTATTTAGCTATACAAAAGCTATAAAAAATTACAGTTAAAAATCCAGGACCGTATTTAAAAAAATAAGTTGAAGGTGGCTCTGGAAATACGAAACGTCGTAATAAAAATTTTGACATGGCAGATTATAGGGAACTCGATTTATAACAAAAACTTCGTATAATTTTTTTTTGTATCTTTTATAACAACAACGCACGACTTAAAAAACGAAAATGAGGTTTTTCGGATTTTAGCGAATATCTCCGGAACCAGTCAGAAAATTTGGAACTTCTATGGACCATTGTATTATCCGTCGAAATACGAAACTTTTTCCTCATTTAACCGACAATGTATATCTTACGGTTTACGAGATCTCTGTATACGCAAATTAAATCCGGTCCACCCTGTATACAACATAGCAAATAAATGAAGTCTATTAAAGTTGTTTGACGATGTGAAAACAAATATAAAAATGTATAAGTTTGGTTAGCCCCTCGTTTAAGGACCACCCTGTATATTTAAGAATATTTATTAAACATGGTCATACAACTTTTATAATATTTTTTTTCAATTTCCAATAATAAAACAGCTATCAATCAATTACGCACTATTGGGACATGTTAGTATCGTTGGATAGGTAAATTTATAAGGAATTGTATGCGAAAAGAATATACAGTGTGTTACATTTGACAAAATTGAGTAAATTGAACTTAAAATTAGCCCTATTTAAGACATGTTACATGTTAACTAATAATAACGATTACCTATCATATACATATTTTTAAGTTAAAGTCTTTACTGCAAGAGGAGATATTTAGAAAATATTTATTTATGAAATTCACTTTATCACCCTGTAGAATCAAAACTGGGACGTTTATAGGAAAATTATATTACGGTGCTTTATTCTGAAACACCTTGTATAAATATATAAAATATTAAAAACTTTATTATAAAACTCACTCTTCGTTTTGGAAATACACATATGAATTCTAGACGTTGCATTGCTACCATATTCTAAGATAACACCCTGCGCATTCACTAATAATGTAAAAAGCGTTACCCCCCCCCCCCCCAAGAAAACAACCTAGCTACGCGGTTGCACACAAGTGAACTTAGCTAAGTTTATTTCAGTGGTTTCTTCCTCTTATTTATTAGTAACATTTATGTATTTTTTATATTGTATATTGTTATTTTTACTAATAAACTTATTATTATAAGGGTTCTTAATTGTTATAATTTTGTACGCGTCTACTTCGCTTAGCTCCGCGACAAAACTGTCAATTTCAGAATATGAAGTGGAAGAACTGTGAAAAGCCTTTCCAACTTCTGCCCCTGCTATATGTAAGAATAAGAAACTCAGACCGTCACAGATATCTGAGAATGCCCACATTCCAAGAAGAGGAAAAATCATCTCAAAATTATGAAAGAAGCTGCATGGCCACGATTAATTGAAGTTGTACAATTCTGTCTAGGAATCTCGACTTGGCTTGGCTTTGACACAAAACTCTTTGTAGTAAAACTTCTAATCCGAATCAGAATCTTGATATTATTATTTGTAAACTTAAAAACGTGGTCCATTAGTTAAAATATTTAATACAATAATTATACAGGGTGTTTCGGGAGGAAGTGGCAATATTTTAAAGACATGTCGAGGAAGCCAAAATAAGCTCATACGTTCAAGTCCGATATTCATTTGTTTCGGAGATATTTTGATTAATTGTAATTTAAAAAGCAAATAAAAATTTATTTCAAAATACATTACAAAAATAAACAAATAACATTAATTTACAACAAATTTTCGAAAACACCACCGCCCACTTCGATACACTTATTTGCGCGTTTATAAACTGCACTAGTAGCGAGTTTCAATGAACGATTGTTCGCTCTAATGATAGCTGCTGCATTAAGAATGGGATCTAGTAACGCTTCCTTCGTTTCCACTTTAGTAGCATAAACTAACGACTTCATCCATCCCCAAAGGCAAAAATCGAGGGGAGTGAGATCCGGTGATCTCGGTGGCCAAGGATGCGGACCGCCTCTGCCAATCCAACGATCGCCGAAAGTGGTATTCAGAAAATTTCGTACATTATTTGAATAGTGAGGAGGCG